ATAAGGGTGAGTTAATTGTGGTGCCTACTGACCGTGTGGAAGCTTGTAGCAGTCTTGAAAGCTGTAAGGGGAAGGGAAATGTCTGACATTTTACCACAGAAGTCTGTCTGTGTCATGACCATGAGGGTTAGCCAGCAGCCTGGGGACTAAGGCGTTAACTATGTCCCTTACCTAAGCCAGGTAGTCTCGGCCAGTATGAATTTCAAAGTGGGACACAGGTATTTTTGGCTTTTCCCTCCTTTGTCCCTGGGCGGTTTCTCTCCAGCTATTGAGTGGGACAGACACTATGTCTCCCTCCAAGAAAAGACTCTTCACTATCTAAGTAGGGTAAAGTTTAGATAAATCCATTAGTTTTTATTGTTTTATGGATTGGGAATGGGAATCTGATGTCAGTGCATTTAAAAATGGGTTTTCCTCTCCTTTGTAACTAAGCTCTTGTTCTTTTCTTGGCAAAGATGACCACCAGTTAGGATGCCAATGTAAAGCAACTGTAGAACTGATGAAATGTATGCCTTAGCTTCCCATCGTTGACAGTTCATTTTGAAACAGCTGTATACAGGCAAAGTTATTATAATAAATTATAAAATTAATTATAAAAAATGTTAGTGTCAAAATGAGAGCAAAGGGCAAGAAAAGAAAGCGTGCTTTTAATGAGGCTTTGCAAAAGGAATATCCATTTTTAGAGAAGCGTGACAATCCTCACGTAATATTTTGCATCCAATGTAGTAGTGAGATAAACATTGCTCGAGGAGGAAAATATGACATCACTTCACATATTCAAAGAAACATCAGTTAGCTGTCAGCTCTGTAGCTTCCAGTGCTTCAATGAAGAAATGTATTATAAAAGATGATTGTCAAAATGGAGCTTGTGGCAAAAGAAGTGGTAATTGCATATCACACTAACACAATTGTTGCATAAAAAAGCCTCTTCCTGAGCTTACTTGATGTATATACATGCATATGGGCCTAATTATTGATGCATATTTGAACTGTGTGGTTGAGAAAGTAGGTGGAAAGCCAGGCCACTTATTGTGATGGTACATGCAATTATTAATTTGTATCAATACATAAACCATCCCATGAATAGCTGGTACAACATACTTTAGTCCAAAGATCCTTGAAGTGTCAATATAAACCTGTAACTGCAACATTTCACTGTATTTACTGCTATCCAACATGTGCTGGGAATGTATGTTGAGGTATAACTAATATACAATCCTTGACACATTGAGGGCCATATTAGTTTTGCTAAATAATCCAGTGGGGCCATGACAAACAAGCACGTGCACAGGTTGGTGTTACATGAAGAGAGCACATTTAGTCAATGTTTGCTATTGATAAAGCAGTGAAATGAAATTGGATATTTATATATCCTGCTGCAATAAAGTTAAATAATTTGTAGTACCCTGTATAGTTTAAATTATGCCCTCTAAAATATTTCCAAACCAGTAACTGAACTGAAGTAATTAAACAAGATTTATATTTAGAGCTTTGGAGGCAATGGAATCATCTGAGTACACAGATTTTTTTTTTTAAGAAAGCATGGAGGACTACTGTGTACACTGCAACCTTTTAACTTGAGGAAAAAAGTGAAGATTGCATAATGGCAAGAAACATAACTGGATTGGAAACGCACACCATATGTTGGAGAAGATAAGTAAGCAGAATATAGAGCCAATGCAATAACGGGTGTTAAGGATCAGTAATTCCACAGCAGTCAACATTTTCATCAACGCTGAGAGGCATTTCTGAGGTAATGCTTACATGTGCCATTTTCAACAAAATTGTTTAGTGCAACACCACAGCTGGAATACAAAAAAAGTGTAATAGGAAAGTTAAGTTATACTGTTTCAGTACAGAAAAGAGGTGCTCATAGTTATCTGTACTTGTTTAAATGCTTATTTTTGGAAACACCTTTGTTTTTCCTTCCAATCAGGGCTGGCCTTACCATGAGGTGAACTGAGGCAGCTACCTCAGGTGTCAGACTGGGGGTGGGAGGTGGGGATCACTAGGAGCCCGACTGGGGGTGGTGGTGCCAGAGTGTAGAAAATTCTGTCTGCTGCTGGTGCAGCAAGAGGATATGGGGGTGCCATTTGAGCTCCCCGCCTCAGGTGCCAAAATGTGGGCCGGCCCTGCTTCCAATGGTTTGTTTATATATCACCTTATACAGGTTGAACCTCTAGTCCAGAGATCTGGCCCAGCAACATCCATGATCTGGCAGGATTTTAGTTAGCCCCATCCATGGTAAGTGTACACACACCTAAGTTTCCTACAGTCCAGCAAAGTTCTGCCTGGCCTAGCTTTCACTGTTCTGTACTATTATTGATCTCTGATTTCCACCTAAACATGCCTTCTAACAGACCAGCAAGCAGGGGAAGTGTTGGTAATGCTAAGCATAAGTAGTTGTCAATACTGATTCAGCAAAAGGTGAAATTGTTGCAGAAATTGGAAAAAGGGCCCCCGTAGGGTCAACGAATTATGATTCAAAGCAGCAAAAAGGATCAAATCCTTAATTATTTTGCTGACGGTAACAGTAAAAATGACTTTGTAAGACACTGAAGGAGGGGGAAGCAGCAATTTATACAAAGCTTGAACAAATGTATAAGCACTATCAGAACAAAGGTCTGTCAGGCACAATGGTGATGGCACAAGCAAAAATATTCCACAAAGAATTTAACCTGCTGCATAAGTGTGACTATTCCAAAGGATGGCTTTAGAAATTTAGGAACAGGCATGGCATTTGTCTGAGAGTCATGTGCATTGAAAACCAAGTGCAGCTATAGAAGCTGCTGCTAAGCACACTGACAAAATTTGCACAGGTGGTGTCAAATGAGAGGTTATCCCCAGAGAAGTTACATAATGCCACTGAACTGCTCTCTATTGGCATTAGATGCCTAGAAATGTTGGCTACTGATGCAGAAGAGCCACTGTCAGATATGAAGGAGTTGAAAGACAAGGTAACTTCTTGGCTGTAGCAATACTGCAGATGCGCATAAACAGAAGCTCATGGTTTTTGGGAACGTGTGAACCCCAGGGCTTTCAGAGGGGGCAAATATAGACCCAGTGATACATCACAGCAATGAAGGGATGGATAAACAACTAACCTATGTCTCTAGTGCTTTGACAAATTTTGTGCCAGGCACAAGAGCCTTGATAGGCACCTTGATAGGCCTGGATCTGAAAAGCAAAATCGTGCTGATTTCTCAGCCATTCCTCCTCTCTCCACTGGGGACCAGGTAGTGATACTCATCCCCATGAGGAACCACCAACAGGCTGCCTAGAACAGCCCCTCCAAAGTCATCAAGAAGCTGAACAAGGTGAAATATGTGGTGGAACTCACCAGGCTCAGTGTCACGGGAGGTACCATGACAATATGATGAAGACCAATTTTGACAGGGAGAATTTGGTACTGGCTGTACATAGACAATGGGAGGAGCAGAGAGTCCATCCATTGGTGGATCTGTAGCAAGACAGGAGCCAGCTCCTTGCTGGAATCAAATTCCCTTGTTGGACAGCTAGCTCCTGCCCAGTGGACATTGATCAGCGAGGTGCTGCATTCACACCAGCTGCTGTTTTCCAACCGGCCTGAACTCACTAACCCAGCTGTCCACCAGGTGGAGACAAGCACCCGCTGTCTGGTATAATGCTCCCCGTTCAGAATCACAGGTCAAACTGCAAAGGACCTGGGGGGGGGGGGGGGGGGGACAAAAGGAGACAAGGACATACTGGCTTTAGGAGTGATCCAGCCATCCCCATGGCCCCTTCCGTGCCATCATTGTGTCCAATGCTACCCTATGCCTAGGTCTGAAGAGCTCCTAGACAATCTGTGGGTGGGAAATTCTCTACTATGGACCTCACCAAGGGCTACCAGCAAGTGCCAAGAGATCCAGATGCCAGGTTGAAATCTGCTTTTATCACTCCTTTGGGACTCTGAGATCTTGGTCCTGGCTTTTAGCCTCAAGGGAGTGCCTGCAATATTCCAGTGCCTGATTGATCAGCTACTGGGTTGGCGGGGAGGGGATCGAGTTTTGCTCCAGTATATACATTGATGGTATCTGTGTAGCCAGACTTGGGAAGATGCTGAACCAACTTCAGGAGGCTGGTCTGACAATAAAAGCTGGCAAGTACAAGGCAGGGATGGGCAGAGGTATCCTACCTGGGCCACAAGGTGGAGAGCAGTTCTCTAAAGCCAGAGCCCATCAAGGTGGAGGCAGTCAAATCGGCCAGTTTCCCAGACTCCAAGACCAGTCCAGGCCTTTATTGGGATGGCAGGGTATTACCAGAGATTTGTGCCCCACTTTAGCCCATACCTGCCCCTATCACTGAGCTGTGTCAGAAGGGGAAGCCAGACAAGCTGGGTCAGGACTGAGCTGTGCCGAAGGACAATGAGGCTACGTCTACACTGAACAAAGCAATTTGAAATAGCTGATTTGGAAATAACACGTCCAAAATTTGTTTGGAAATTTGAATGTAAATTAAAACATTAATACACACTTTAAAAGCATATACAGATGTGTAGCTGAAAAAGTAGAATAGATTTGAAAAGTATGAACACAGACTAGCTTCCTTATACAGCTGGTTATGACAATGTCAGTGCATTCATTTTGGTGATGGTGGCCAACCTAATAATTTCAAATGATGATTTGTAAGCAAAGTCAAAATGAGCTCTCCCTGACAGCTAGTGATGAACTGGGGGGGAAGGTGTCAGAACCAGATTGTATTTACATTCACACCTAATCTACCTAGGTATCCAGCAAACAGAGCTGTGTTGCCCAAGAGATAGATTTTGGCTGGGGCTGGGTTACAAATCACTTGAATGTGGGGGCGGGGAGGGGGGGGGGGGGGGAAGAGATGAAATGTTGTTGTTCGTATTGTATGAGTAAAGAGCAGTAAAACTGTACTTAACCTGTACTAATTGAGGGCATCAAGAGAGGGTGTTTTGCTTGATGGTCTGAGTCACAAGTACTATTTGACCTGCCCCTCTCCACTGTTTAGGCTCCATATATAGTCTTTTGTTTTGTGAAGTGACCACTACAGCTGAAATCACTGATAAGTGCTTAGTCCTGCTGTGGGGACAGTGTTTTTGTGTAAGAGACAGCCCAGACTGAATTAGCAGTGAGGTTCCCCCACTGAGAGCTCAGCTGAAAATCACTGAGAGCTGGGTGGAACCTCAAGAGACCAACTCGCAGAGGTCACAGTGGCAGGTGGCAGCAGAAGGTGATGGTGCAGGGCCATTGGCAACAGAGCAATGGAGTGAACGGCGGCACAACGAACAGAGGCCAGAACGAACAGTGAGCAGCTGGAGGAACAAGCAAGGTGCCTTCTCCCTCCCCCACCTGGGAGGTGTACTCACGTGAAAGCACTTCTGAACTCTGAGTCTCCACTGACCAAAGACAACACCGGTGAGTGGGGTGACATGGAGGGAAAAATGAGGGGCATGTTAAATCAATGTTTGTTGGACTATATTTTAGGGTCTTTGCTCCAGAATGCTCGATTTGTGACTGGGAATGGAAACGTATATAAATGTATTTCCTAGTAGGCCAAGATGTTTAAAATGCATTATTTGCCAAGGTTGTTCTCACATTGTTGCTATCTTGGGAGGTCATTATGTTGGGGAGTTTCTGTACTAAACATTTTTATTATTAGAATTAATTTTTACATAAGAATAGTCATACTGGGTCAGACCAGTGGCCCATATAGCCCGGTATCCTGTCTTCTGACAGTGGTCAAGGCCAGATGCTTCAGAGGAAATGAACAGAACAGGTAATCAAGTGATCCATCCCGTCACCCATTCCTAGCTTCTGGCAACAAGGTAGGGACACTTAGAGCATGGTACTGCATCCCTCCTCATCATGGCTAATAGCCACTGATGGACCGATTCTCCAGGAATTTATCTAGTTTTTTTAAAAATCATGTTCAGTTTGGTCTTCACAGCATCCCCACACAAAGCGTTCTACCTTTCTGTATTGTGTCCACGTGTAATGCTTACAGAAGGAAATGTAAACCTATAAAGGTGTCACAGTACACCATTACTGGGTGGCGGGGGATGGGGAGAAATCACTCATTGTTTGTACTGTTGAGTGTACCAAGCACAATGGAGTAGTTTTGTGACCTTAGAGATTAACAAAAATAGATGTAGTATCATGAGCTTTGTGGGCATAACCCACTTCTTCAGATGAGCTGGAAGTACGCTGTCATTGTCCTTAGCGCATTTTACTTTCTACTGACTTCACTGGGGCTGTCTATGGTGCCTGCTGTGAAACTAGATTGAAATCTCTCTGCAGTGAAGTAGCCCCTGGAAGACCGGGACCAGAAGTAGTAAAAGGCTGAACGCGCAAGTTGTGTGGAGATAAACCCCCATCCCTCAGAGGTACCCCCAGACCTGAAGACGTGAAACCCCCCAAAGTTTCACTTCACTGTAGACTGACTTACAAAATGAGGTATAAAAATGCAAATGTGTCCCAAGTACACAGTTACATTTTTATTTCAGTCTTACCATGTAATAAACTAAAGCAGTTGAAATAACATTGTATTTACATGCCAGTGCTGGATCACTACAGTAGCAAATTTGGCAGGATAAACAGAAAAGCCACACTCAAACGGCAGCATCTACTACTGATAGGCCAATGTGCCGGCTGCTCTTTTTGCCATCACATCTACAAGACAAGAACCCAGTAACATCAGCTTCTTGAGCTAAAGAAAAAAATCCTTTGCTAGCTAGATTAGAAGCAGGTCTTTGCTCCTGGCTCAGACAGCAGAGTGCATCCATTTCATTCATACAAACAGGGCTAATATATTTTGGTAGCTCAGTAAAGCTAACCATAAAATCCTCCACCCAGGAGTCTGACCTGAGTTTCCATCTGAAATGTCTTGAATAGGAGTGCCCTTCATTTTCAAAAAAATTGTGAGGTGTTAAACTGTCATTAAATCGCTTGCTCTAAAGCAACGTTTAAGCCCCCATGAGTGTTGTTAGGTCAGTAAACAAGATCGTTTAACCCTCCCACATACGGAATTAGTGTCACTCCAAACAGGCCAAGTCTAGAACTTCCACCCGTGCTCTTAAGCCTGGGTTGCGAGAACCAGTGACAGGGTATGAGTCAGGCAGCTGATTTACAGTCACTTACACCAGCATCATTATGAAACTGGCCTCACCCCACGGTTTGCCATACTGCCACGTAAGAGACCTGCAGACATGTCAGTGGAAGGTCACACTGCTAACCTGGCCCTGAAGATCACCTGTTCCTTTATATCTCTTTAGCCATAAATCTGGATCGACGCAGATCTGACGTGTGTATCTCAGTCGTATGAGCCAAAGGGAAGTGATGACTTGCAAAAGCTGCTCTGACTGCAGAGGTGAGGCTAGGGTAGAGTATCTGAGGGGCTGCGAGCTATAGAACGGCCTCTGCACATGGTCCACAACCGTTCAGACCCAGAAATGCCGAGGCTGCATAAGATCATTGCGTTGGTAACACTGGTGCAGCACGTCCTCTCTGAGCACAGAGTCTAGACTAGCTTCATACAGAGCAGTTCCAGAGCATCGTCCCCATCAGCAGCCTGTTCAGGTGCGAAGAAGAAAGCAGAACTGAGGACAAGGAGACATTTCCCCTCACAAGAGGGGCTGGTAGCGAAGAGTTCGTTTGAGGGCAAGACCTTTCTGGGCCATGTTAACAGGAATAGGAGTACTGCATTCTACCCAGTCCCGTTTGGCAACCAAATGAAGCTACACAACGCAGAAGTGAACCAAGTTGCCTTTTACTGGCCTTAACAGGTGTTTCGTTTGAGTGAAGGAGAATTGCTTCCTGGGCTTTCCTACCAAGCAGGAAGCAAATAAGCCAACTGCTGTAACAGTCGTGAGTAAGTATTTTGTTTGCCTGAGGAGGGGACAGGTGAATATCAGAGATGAAGATGTATAATCCAAGGTCACACCTATTTGTATCATACTTTTCTGGTGTGTCAAAGAATTGCAGTCTATTTCATAATAGAGCCACTGACATCTCTGTACAGGAGAAAGGAATTTGTCACACCTAGTTTCTTTATGACCCTCTGTCTAACCAGTATGTTAAGATCACGGATTTTATTAGCCAGCTTTTACACAGCAATCAAGCTGCTCATGAAGCCAGCATACAGACCGACTGCTGTTGCTGCTATTCCTCACCCGCCCCCATTTCTTCCTATCTCCTCTTAGGTGTTAAGCTCTTGAGGTCACTTTTATATATCCCAGAGAGCAGGGCCCCCATCCTGAACAGCTGTTTGGGTACTACCTGGGCAAGTGTTTACATTTTACAGTCTATATAGAGGACAAAAGCCCAACCCAAGAACAATATCTGTAATAAATCCTGCCTGGTCTAGCAGGTTTGTTACAAGGAAAATTGTAAGAGGGATGTGGTTTTGCTTTGATTATTTTTGTCCTTCCTTCTCTGATCCTTTAGTCATTATTTGTCCCAAGCAATCAGTTGAACATGGGTCCAGTGTCCCTCCCATAAGATTGGGGAGGGGCTTTTAGAAGGTGGGCAGGCTTCACCCGCCCACCATCCCATGATTTCAAATAGGTCCTCCACTTAAGGGAACCCACGTTCAGTAAGGGGACATCCATCCATTTGACCATTGAGAATCTTAGGGCTGAACACGCAATGAGCTCTCCATAGTGTATAAATACTCCAAGCGATGACAAACCCATAGCAAGGCTGTGCAGGAGGCAGCCAGCCAATCATAGAAAGGCTTACAAGGGCAGCCAACCAGGCCCAGATAAGAAGGGCTGACGTGCAGAGCAGCTTGGGTCACTCCCTGGAGCTTGAGGGAGGAGAACTGGCTGCCTTACAGGCAGAGGGCAAGCACACACCCTGGACACAGTGCTGCAGGCAGAGACCCAAGAAGCTAAAAGCAGCTCCTGTTATGCAGCTAGGATCTGCAAGCTGAGACTCTGAGCCAAGGGCATCCAGGGTGCTGGGCTGCAGGAAAGTGGCCTGGGGAAATCTACAGCATCTGAGGGGACACAGCAAGTAGCAGCTATCTGCAGGGTCTCTGGACCTGGTCTAGTGGACCCTACCTCTACTCCTCACTGAGGAAGTGGCTGGATTGAGGGACTGAGATACATGGAGTGTGGCAAAGCTGGAGGGTGGTGCTATGAAGAAGACCGGTCTTTTTCCATTTGTCCATACAACAGTTATACATTTTAAAAAGTTACATGGTTACATGTTTGTATTCTTGGTATTTGTTACAGTTGTGCCGAGATATCAGAATTTTAATTTCTCCACCCCTTTGTCCTTGACACTTCCACTCCTGAACAGGTTCCGCCTCTTGCCAGCAACCCAACTTTTATGAACAGTTGAGTCAAAACTCACCCCCCACCCCCCACCTGAGCTACATACTTTAGTGCTGCAAGGATTGTGGCACTTTGCCCATCAGTGTACACCAATGACATGCTAATGCATTTCTTCTGAATAATCAGACCTTTTATTGCTTAAGGTGCATCTGCCATCTTGAAAGAAACCCTCTGGCACATGCGCACTTCAGTTTAGACCCTATCATCAGAGGCAAGGGCTGACAGACCAGCAATGGAAGTCTTCATGTTCAATCCTGAGCATCATTATAGTTCGTCTTCACTTTACCATTTGCACTCCTGTTAAGAGGGTAGCCTCGTCCCATTTTAGGCTCCAAATCTAGTAGTGTGGGTATGAAGCAATCTTTCCCATACAAGTTCCTAATGTGGGTTTTCACCTTCCTCTGAAGCATCATGGACTGGCTACTGCATGAAACAGGACATGGACCAAGACCGACCTCGTAAATAGAAAAAGGAACAGGATTTCAGACAGCCGAGAGAACCACATCTGTACAGGCATGTTGAAGCCTTATAATATCAAACACTTGCGCTTGCATGAATTTAGTCATGGATTCCTTGTGATCGCCTCCTCACTCACTAGTTAAAGCAAATCCATTACATGTTCCTCTGAGACTCTGGCCACCTGTTATATTCTAAAGGTAACTAATCCTTTCGGATTAATTTGCATTTCCTGGCCTAATAAAGAATGACCGTTATTTGCTAAAGCCAGTGACCAAACTAGCCAAGCCATTAGTCACTGTAATCCTCTGTCTCGTTACCCCATTCACCCAGGAGGAAGGGTTCAGAACTCGTTTAGGCCTACTCGAGCGTCTGAGAAGTGACCTAGGACCAGACTTCTCAAGGTAGTTCGTGCCTCAGCCAGATGAGATGATTCTGTGCTGACTTCATTTTGGTCACTTTGTGCTTTACCTAAGAATAAAACTAGGGTTATATTTTCCCACTGCTTGGCTACCTAGCTTATTAAACTGGATAATGCCACTGAACTATTTACAATATAAGGTTGATAGAGAGTCAGGAGCGGCCAGAGGCCGGCTGCGGCAGCTGGCACTCCAATGGTGGTGA